AGCACTCACTTATCCCTATCTCTCGGTGGGATGCTTCACCTATGCGGGGATTCTGCTATAAAGCTAAGTCAGATTCAGTGCTTTGAGCAGCTCTATAACAATTCTCTTCTATTTGCCAACTGATGAAGGTCCAGATTAGGCGCCTACGGTTGCTATGCTTTTCCCAACGGAAGCCGTGCTCAGGGCAGCACGGCCTCCGTTGGGAAAAACTCCTGCAATATTCTACACCCTCCCTCAGGATTCTTCTGGTGCGAAGTGCGACCGTACATCCCATTCCCACTGAGAAAAATCGACATCCGGAAATATTTTTCTCAAAAAACAAATACGACCCCCCCCCCCTTCCTTCCAGCGAGCAGAAAAGATCTCCCAGCAGGGGATTGCCAACGTGCGGCGTGTCGAAATCATGCTTAGCAGCAGATTAGAATAACGTCAAAAACCAGGGTTACTCCTATAACAGTAGCTCTTGTCGGTTACTGTTTTGCATATTCAAATCGTACTGACGAACTCTTTAAAAACAGTATTCGTCGCTCGGTCCAGACACCGCTGGAACTCACTTCGCCAGTGCAAACGGCATGACCAGGAAAATTTATCAGGTAGGGTACCTAATCACGTGCTCTTGGCGTAGTTGCTTATTATTGATGTCACACCTTTTTCCTTTTTGTGAATTCGTACAGAAAGGTGCGACATCTTAATTATCATGTGACAGGCTAAGCGTGACTCAATTCAGCTAATAGCTATAGTGACCACATTCCTGCAATCTGAAGTGCAGTGTTTTCTTTGAAAAAACGGAATTTTAGGACCATTTACCTGCTGCAACTTTAGAAAATGTGAAGGCGCTTGTAGTGTCAACTCCTACTCGTATACGCTTCATGTCGGTGGGCAAAAAGGGGCGTACCGAAAGCGCGTCTTTGCCTGTTGGTTGCCCGAATACTCGCACCCATCCCCTAGCTCCCAGTCACGCCCTTCGTTCTCTCAGACATGGGTCATAGCTGGATGTGCATATGAACTACTCTTGGTAAACCACATACAGCCCATATGTTGGGGTGAGCAAGGGAATGTGCAGACTCAGATCTCTGAGCAACGATGAGGGACCCTTGCTGATTCGGTACAAAAGGGATGTGGGGTCTGGTAGAAAGGGAAGAGATGAGAGGATTGACGTTTTCTTGTAGCATCCTATACGAACGCTGTCAGAATCTCTGACTGAACCGACAAATGTCTATCGCCGCCACTCTCTCATCCAATCCCCTGAATGCTCCCCTTTTAGCACTGAGGTGCACCTACAATTATGCTATTTTCTGGGGATGCTTTTATCAGCGGCTGTGGAGGCATTCGCCTGTAGTTTCTGAACACATCACCGGCTCTTTTTTGTATTTTCCGCACATTCTAGCCTTCTAATTCCAGAAAATAATAGGGCATGGATTGGACGCGGGTGTGACGGGGCATGGGTCGGAGCCCTGCCAGGGCGGTACCACCAGTGATGCCAAACTGAAGTCCGCAGCAACTGTAAAGTGAGAAAGGACACAGAAAGCTAAAAATAATATATTGTGAGAGAGAAATAACATCAGTTTGTCCTCCATAGTGCAGCATAAATTATTGTAAGCATCTTAAAAATTGGTCCCAAATTGATTTCCGAACCTGACGGGAGACTCATGCCACTTACTAAATGCATATTTATGTATTCCTATATAGCGTATAGGTATAATCCCAACTGTTGGTCACGATACGTTCACGCACAGAAACATGAAGTGCGAACAGATTGTCACTATTCATGACTAAAATAAGAGCAGTTTATATACGGCACCGGTTTTCGGCCCTTCTTTTCCTACAAAAACGGTTGCTGATTTGTGAGAGATAGAAAGGCGAGAACGGAATATAATGCTGAGGTAGTCCAATACATCTAAGGCGTCTCACATTAAAGGTGACATATGGGCTAAACTGTTCAGAACGGGCGGAGCTTTCAACTGAGTAGATGATATTTCATTTTCAACCATTTTCTTCTGACGATTAGTATCCACAAAACCCATTCAAAAAGGTTGTTTTAGGAGGATTCCGAGACTGCGACAATCTCAAAGTCAGGAGATGTTGAACATTCTAAAACTCCTTGGCCGTCCATTTACATCGCTGGTGCTTGTTCTTTTATTCAGGCCACTCAGTTTACTATCTTGTTCAGCTCAATGTGGCCTTACTTGAGAAAGGTGGGTGATGAGCTTGTTTTTTATGAATTTCTTATTTTTATTTCCCCCGTTTTTCCCTAGGATCAAACACATATCGCAATAAGCCACCCAGATTATGGTTCGCTTGGAGGTGACAGAATCCCCTACCACAAATGTGCCAATCTTCCCATGGCTCATATATTTGTAGCGAGGGCGTTCCAGGAGTACCACTTGGGCCCGTGTGGGCACACTTTGGTTGGCATGCTGACGTCTTTTTCCTCTTTCTGCTCTCTCTCATCCACTTGTGATCTCTCGGTCCTAGCCAGTGTCTCTTCGTCTCTCGCGCCTTCGCTTGCTTATCCAATCATTAAAATTAACTGCCAGATTGGAGGACCCTATTCAGGTGTATTCAGCGCCTCTTTCTGCCCTTTTTCTTCATGAGAGAGACACTTTGCACCTGTAAATCCAAATTTGAAAGGAGCTATGTACAAGCTGCCATCACGAAATGTGTCTTTGAGGACCAGCGGCTAGCGAGAACCTACCGTATCTGGCCCGACTGGCGAGAAGAGCTGAAGGTTTATGCGTTCAAGAGGAAGATTTCTCATGTGAAAACTATCAAGAAGCATTTGAAGTAGCTATCATGCCCTAAAAAGGCAGTTTGTTCGTATTTGTGGTGGAACGAATAGAAAGCGCAGGACTCAGGAAATTTCAAATAAAATTCTGAACAAATCAATTTTGAGCCCTTCCCTGATGCGCATTTTGTGTTGATCGGCGCCCTTCTACACTCCTTATCCCTGAGACAGAGTAGGCGTGGCATTTGAACATGGCATAGAATGGGTTACTCGTGGGATGATCCAGTTCGAGTCAACTGTCATCTTGTTGGACAGAGACACGACCACAATTATGTCAAAAAGAAAATAGCTCTCCAGAAGCACAACCACCGTCACGTTTAGTTGAAGTAGGCGGCCACGCCTACCCCATCTCAGGGATTTCGAGTGTACGATATGTGCAGAATAAGTGATTGCTATTGTTCGTACTGTACCTTTTCACTTCCAGCTAAATCCACAAGCTGTGGAAACAGAGTACGGGTTTATTGTGGCGATGTATAGCCTTGGCCAATGCATATCAGCACCGAGTTTTGGTTACTGGAGTAATCGAATCGAACAGGTCCGTCACATGAGCTTTTGACTGGTTTCTGATGACTTTCAAGTGACGTCTTCAACCGTGGATTGGAACTTTAAAAATAGATGAATATATTCAGGTCAGAATACCTCTTCTTGCGGGTTTTGTATTTATGATGATTGGAAATTCCGTCTACCTATCGCTACAGTTGTTCGCTCCATCCAATGTGGCCATAGTTATGATGATAGCACGGTTTACGACTGGCTCAGGGACAGGTGTGAACATACATTTTCTAATTATTGCATATTTCATATTAATACTCGTCAGGAACACTTTTATGCCCCCCCCCCTTCTGCCGGACGTGAGGAGGGGAGAGGTACGACTCCCTACTGGGACTCTGCCAATGATGAGCGCCTAAAACTGAAAAATCAACTAACAGAAAATTTTTCGGGGGCCATTACGTCCTCATCCCCAGTGACGAGATCACAGGAGCCTCCGTTGTGTTTTTCACAACAGAAGCTGCGCCCTGATTTTACCTGCAGATGTGCAGAAAGTGACGCCAGTCATCGTGGGGAATTTTTTACTTTCGCTCTCGTAACTGAGTGTATGAAGGAGGGGAAAAATTACTATGAGGACTATGACGCGGAATTCGAACCGTTCCTCTAAATCCCTTACCGTCGGAGGATACTCAAAACTTTTTTGAAAAGTAAATTTCAGGAAATACTGTAAAATCAAACTTCCAACGCGTTAGTCAATTTTTGGATGAACATGTTTTATGAAATGTATAGTTAAGGAAACATGGCCCTCCTCCGAGCATATGCCTCGACATCGTCACTGAAAACTGACCGTGCGCGTGCTCTTGCTTGTGTAAGTGGTGGACTCGCCACAGGGACTCTAATCGGACCAGGTGAGATGATCGTCCATTGAAAATGTTTTCTATTGTGCTATTTAACGAGGAGGCGGAGGTGGTGTGACAAGTGGCGCGCTTACCACTCGCGCGGCCCCGGATTCGAATCCCGGGTCGACTCCCGCCCAGGCCAACCAAGCCTTCTACCCTCGGGAGGATAAAACACTGACTTGTACATCGGCTGGCCACCGCAAGTCATTGTATAGGCCACATCGCATTCAATAAGCCACTACGATTCTGAATGGAAGTAGAATGCGTGCCGCATCCCACAAAGGGATTGATCAACGGCGAAGACTTTATCCTTTATTTAACGAGGTACCCAAAGGGAAGCATGCCACTCCTCGTGCACGTAATGATAAGTTCGAACCCTTCGCGGTTCAATCTAGGCCGACTCAATTGCCGGCTCGTCTGATAGGATAGAAAGTGGCTGCACTATGAAAGCAGCAGATGTGAACCCTGTACCGAATCCATGGAATCCAGGTTCCGGCGTTCAGTCACATTTGCAGTGACAGGCTGTAAGCGTGCTGACTAGGGGTGAAGCGCCCAATCCAACGGCATCGGTAGAAAGGCGTTAAACCACGCCTCTAGCGCGCTAATGGTGCGAAATACCTTTCCACCAATGATGTCAAGCTGGAGGCCAAGCCTTCTACCGAACATACCCACCACACTATATTCCCGAACTATTACTCCTTTCAAAATACGCTGTCACTGAGGAAATGATTTCTGCAATAATTTCCAGCGTTTCAACTACTCTTTACACCTCTTGGACCCGATGGGATTCATATATTGCCATTTTATCGGCTCAACATATACAACGCTCCAGCCCTGCTCGCACTGCTCTTCAATATATTGGGATTTTTGCTGATATTGTGTGTCTTTGAAGGAGAGATATGATGTTCTGCATTCAGAGGCTGCCAAGGTAAGAAATTCAAAGCGTTTGTGGGAGGTGAGGGGGGGAGGGGCAGGAGAGAATCTCTTATCTATAGATTATTATTTCTGTGTTTCACAGAAATCGATTGGACTTGATTGATGAGCAGGTGCAGAAGGTCCTGATTCCAGCGAAGTAGCCTTCTGATATAGTGTCAGGAAAAATATTTGCCAATCTACATAGCTTTATTAACTCTTGTAATCGCTAAAAATGAGAGAGCGTGTGAGGGAGCGTGGAAATCGTGGTCCCGAGCGCGGCCAAGGCAACCTTTTCCACAAAACTTGTTGCACATCTTTGTTGCATATTTAAGATACATCCTACGGACCTTCTGCGCTCCTTCTGCAGGGATAACCGACTATAAAGTGCAAGCCTGAACAGCTTACCTGGTGAGTACAGTTTGAAAAAGTTTTTTCCAATTAGGGCGATACTTCAAGCTGCTAGGAACGATATTAATCCAGCAATAGGCAAGTGAAGGGCTACCGCCTCCATGTATGATTGCGGGTGTCTGTCTGTGTGAATCACCAGGTTCACTCAAATATTCGCAACAACGACCATTGAGACGTGAGTTCAAAATGTGTGCTTATTCTTCATAATAAGGCAGCGTTCAGACTTCGCGACGGCAGCGTTTCGGTCGCCCGTTTCACGTGATATGCCAAGTCGAAGGCAGCGAGTTCGACGCGATCGATGCAGTCAAAAGTATGCGCATTGATCGTCAAATCGCGCGAATGAAGCGCTGCCGTCGCGAGGTCTGAACGCTGCCTAAGCTAACGGACTAAACAGCGAAGAGGCTGAGTTCATTTCAGTCTTGGATCCCCTTTTTCAATGCTGATGTTCTCATTCAACAAAGAACAAGCAGTCACATGGAATTCAGCGGCACATCTTGTTGCTGGCTGTGCTGGAGTCATTCTATATGTTCTATTCATATTCTTCGATCTCTGCAAATGGTAAATCGTTCAGTCACTAAAAACTCTTCTGAAGCGCAACTCTTTTTATGAACGAAATCAGGGTCATGAATACAAACATATGATTTATTGATATCAACTATATCGAGCCCTTGACAATGGTTATCACGGGGACCATTGGTCAATCCTTTTTTCGCTACCATTTTTTCCTTCAGCATCGTAATAACATTCTGAATGCAGTCGGGCTCATAGAGTGACTCGGGGATCTATTTTTCTAGAGAAGACTTGCACAAAGTACAGCATCGTTGGGAGACCTTTACTGAGGGTCGTACCTACAGGTCACTGAGGAAGGACGGTTGTATGTGCTTCTGAGAAAAAATTTTCTGACCCCATCGGTTGTCGGAGCCGCAGAATTGCGACATAGCCGCTATTTCTAATGATCCATTCTAATTGAGAAAGTGATAGAAATTTTAGAAAACTCAGGAATCTTGTAGCTAGGATAGGGGAAGGGATCGTATATGTTTTCGATAGAAATTTCTCCGGTCCCTTCCACCCCACTTTCTAGCGTAGCTTCAGAAGTATTATATAACTCTATTTCTACTGTTTGATTCTAATTGAAAGAAAGGTGGGACGTTGGGGAAACGTAGAGGCTTAGGAAGAAAGGTTGATGGGATAGGAAGGTGGGGTCGTAAAAGATTAGGAAATATATGGGGGAGGGGATCGTTCTGACTCGCCACTTCCACATGATGGTGCTGTCCTTTGGCTTGGTACCAACTAGC